TTCAAAACGAGCGCTTCGTAAACGGTGCGGGAACAAATGCTCGCGAACGAACTTCATGGCAGCCCGAGGTTAAGTCGTTTGGTTGTGAAGTGCTCGTCCAAGATGTCCTGATCCCAAGCCCCCTCTCCTCTCGGGTCCCTACACTCGGCGGCGAGCCAAGGGGGGAAGTGAGAAGGGGCGGGCCTTCTCAGAAGGCTCGGAAGTTCCCCAGCCTTCTGAGAAGTTTCTTCAGCCTTCCCCGAAGACGCAGGAAAACCTTTCAGAAGGCGCGAGGGCTTCTGAGAAGTCCCGCCTCCTTCTGAGAAGGCCTTCTCCTTCTCACTTCGCCCCCTCGCTCGCCGCCGAAATTGGAGCGGGGACCACGCCAAATCCTCTCCAAATCGGTCTCCGGACCCCTCCCGGGGGGTCCATCTGGCGCAGATTTTCACCTTGGGCCCGTTTTCGACGGCCACGGGGCCCTAAAAGGGCCCACGGAGACCTTCTCCTTCTCGCTCGCGTCTTTTTTTCTCGCTCGCACGCAAGGAGTTCGGATCCCGATCGCGTGATCTGCCTGCTCGAGGCGCCGCTGACGTCGTCGCGCGCCCAACTCGATTGATTGATAGATAGGAGGAGGAGGAGGAGGAGGAGGAGGAGGAGGAGGAGGAGGAGGAGGAGGATGAGGATGGATGGAGGGAGGAGGCTGGAGGGAGGAGGCTGGAGGGAGGAGGTGGAGGAGGCGGAGGAGGAGGAGGAGGAGGAACCTCCTCCCTCCAGCCTCCTCCTCTTCTCCTCCTCCGCCTCCTCTTCCTCCTCCTCCCTCCAGCCTCCTCCCTCCAGCTCCCTTCCTCCAGCCTCCTCCTCTCCTCTTCCTCTTCCTCCTCTTCCTCCTCTTCCTCCTCCTCCTCCTCCTCCTCCTCCTCCTCCTCCTCCTATCTACGAATCGAGTTGGGCGCGCGACGACGTCAGCGGCGCCTCGAGCAGGCAGATCACGCGATCGGGATCCGAACTCCTTGCGTGCGAGCGAGAAAAATAAGGACGCGAGAAGGAGAAGGTGAAGGCCTCTGTGGGCCCTTTTCGGGCCCCGTGGCCTCGAAAACGGGCCCAGGGTGAAAATCTGCGCCAGATGGACCCCGTGAGGGGTCCGAGGACCGATTTTGAGCGGATTTGGCTTCGTCCCTTTTCAATTTCGGCGGCGAGCGGGGGAAGTGAGAAGGAGAAGGCCTTCTTCTTCACAGAGGGCGGCGGGGCTTCTCGGAAGCCCTCGCGCCTTCTGAGAGGTCTTCTGTGTGTCTTCGGGGGGAAGGCTTAGGAGACTTTTCAGAATGCCGGGGGACTTCCGAGCCATTTGAGAAGGCCGTCTCCTTCTCATTTCCCCGCCTCCCTCGCTGCCAAGAATTGATTTATCCAGAATGTGTGTTTTTCTCGCCGAGTCCATGGAAGTTGCGCAGAACGAGCGTAGATCCACCAACGTTGTACGCATCTTGTTGTAGATTCGACATGGGAATGAATTGGTTCGTTTTCACGGACGTTGGCGCGTACCTCCCACGCAACGCAGCGCGCAAGCGCCGTCGTTCCTGGCGTAGCGCCACGCGCGCTGGCGGCCCGCGGGAGCCGCGGCGCAAGGTCGCCATGCCGCCTCGCCTAAGGAGGTCCTCCAGGAGGGCCCTCAGAGGCCCAACTCATTGTGTGTTCCCTCTGTTTTGCTGGATATTGCCCTTTGCTTCTTGTCGGCCCCCCGACGGCCCAAGACGGCCCAAGAGGCCCCCAAGGTCGCGCCAAGATGGCCCCAGAGGCCTCCGAGAGGACACGCTTCTTTTCGTCGCTCAAGTGGTGGTTCTGCTGCGGCGTCGGCCACGGCGCGCCGATCTCGACTCCTCTGCCTCCCCTCGGGCCACCAGCGAAGAGGGCGGGAGTGGTGCCACCGCACTGGCGCCCTATCGCACACAACCTTGGCGCCTGCCACGGCGGAACATCATCTCCTCTGTTCCTCCTTCATCCTTCTCCTCCTCCTCCTCCTCCTCCTCCTTCGCCTCCCCCTCTTCCACACTCATTAAACAATATGGATACTACTCTCCTCGCTCCCCTGGTGGCATCCGGGAAATGGCCAGCCCTCCTCCGCGTATGGTTTTTTACACAGGATTCTCGGGAATCGGGTTTTCGCTTGGTTTTTTCTCAAAATACTGCTCTCGCTGAAGCGCTGGCTTTATTTTCGAGCTACCGCTCGTTCCGAATCGTGCTCCCGCTGCAGCGCTGGCCTCATTTCCGCGCTTCCGCTGGTTCCGACTCGTGCTCCCGCTGCAGCGCTGGCGTCATTATTTCCAGCGCCATGTCACGGCATGGTGTTTGGCCCTTCCAAATATGGCCCACCGAAAAAACCATCAGACGTGATGCCACATTCGGCGTCGATTCGTTAATTTCTTTGGCCCGCAGAAGCCCTCTCCACTTTGGCGCGTCGCCACGCAATGCTATGTCAGGCCACGCGTCCTCACTTCCGCGCTTCCGCGCTTGTTTTTTCAAACTGCTGCTCTCGCTGAAGCGCTGGCCTGATTTTCGGGCTACCGCTCGTTCCGAATCATGCTCCCGCCGCAGCGCTGGCCTCATTTCCGCGCTTCCGCTGGTTCCGACTCGTGCTCCCGCTGCAGCGCTGGCGTCATTATTTCCAGCGCCATGTCACGGCATGGTGTTTGGCCCTTCCACATAGCCCAAACATTTTGAAAATGGCCCACCGAAAAAACCATCAGACGTGATGCCACATTCGGCGTCGATTCGTTAATTTCTTTGGGCCGCAGAAGACCTCTCCACTTTGGGGCGTCGCCACGCCATGCTACGCCTTGATTTTCAAAACCATGTTACGCCATGCAATGTTATGCCATGCTACGGCATCCGATTGTGCCAGTAGAAAGGAGATCTACGCCATGGTCAGGGATGGGAGGGAGGGGTGGGGCGCCAGATATGACGCGGCGAGCGCACCTAGCTTGTCCCCCCCCTCCTCTTCTTCCTCCTCCTTCTCTCCCTCTCTTTTTCCTTCTGGATAACTCTTCCCTGTCGCACCCCGAGGGCAGTTTTTAGGGCGGGCCGGGCTTTTCGCCTGAGACTTCCTCACCACTTATGACTCTGAAGCTTAAAAGGTGACAACAGTTTCGCAGATGGAGGGCGGGTCGTTTTCAAAATGTGGCTCTCGCTTCAGCGCCGCGCACATTCGTTCTATATATATAGTTGCAAGAGTTTCACGCATTGAGGGCGGGTCGTTTTCAAAATGTGGCTCTCGCCTCAGCGCCGCGCACATTCATTTCAAACTGTTGCACGAGCTTCACGGATTGAGGGCGGGTGGTTTCAAAATGCGGCTCTCGCCTTAGCGCCGCGCACATTCTTTTTCACAAACTCGCAAGAGTTTCACGGATTCCAATGCTCAGCGTACCAGAAGCGGTGTTTTGCACGGATTCAGGAATGTGCGGGTGCAACAGTTATGCTGATTCGCGGTGTTGAAGTTCCAAAAATAGCGTTCTGGCGCGATTCCGGATCGTCAAGACGCAGCAGTCAGGTTGATCCGTGGAGTTGAAATCCCGAGAACAATTTTTTGGCATGCTTCAGGGTCTTCAAACGGTTGTCTCCCAACGAGTTCTCTCCATGGAAATGAACCGCTGTAGGGGCCTATGGAGAGGGAGCTTGGAGGGAGGGTTTTCCAACATCGTTGATGACTCTTGGGTTTACACCGGTTCTCCTCCTCGTCCTCCTCCTCCTCCTCCTCTTCCTCCTCCTCCTCCTCATCCTCCTCCTCCGCCCTCCTCCTCCTCCTCCTCCTCTTCCTCCTCCTCTTCCTCCTCCTCCTCCTCCTCATCATCATCATCATCATCCTCCTCCTCCTCCTCCTTCCTCCTCCTCCTCCTCCAACTCCGCCTCCTCCTTCTCCTCCTGCTCCTCCTCCTCCCTCCGCCTCCTCCACCTCCGCCTCCGCCTCCTCCAACGCCTCCTCATCCTCCTCCGCCTCCTCTCCTCATCATTCATCATCATCATCATCATCCCCTCCTCCTCATCCTCCTCCTTCCCCTCCTTTTCGTCCTCCTCCGCCTCCGCCTCCGCCTTCGCCTCCTCTCCTCCTCCTCTTCCTCCCCTCCTCCGCCTCCTCCTCCTCCTCCTCCTCCTCCTCCTCCTCCTCCTCCTCCCCCTCCGCCTCCGCCTCCTGCTCCTCTCCCTTCCCCCCGTCCTCATTTCCCCCCTGGTGCTGGGATCAGCTCGTGTGCGGAAGGCTGGGTAGCAATCGTGCGAGGCAGGGTTGCGTTTCATCGGGATCCAGTCGAAAGCCTCTTGCGAGAAGCGGGGGGCGAAGCTGGAGCCTAATATCGTCGAGAACACCAAAGCCAGCCTCTTGCGACGAGCGGGGGGCGAAGCTGGAGCCAAATTTCGTCGGACGTGTTCTCCGCCGACGGGTTGAGATCAACGCATGCGAGAACACTTCGGGGATCGTGGCGCCGGGAAGGATCTCAGCTACAGTGCGGGGATCGGGCCGTGCGAGAACCAAGGCAGTGGCAGCAGGCTCTGTTGCCGCGGGGATCCGACGAGCCAGTCTAGGCTACAGTGCCGAGATCAGCTCGCGGAAGATTTTGTGAGAGAAGCCCCTATGAGGCAAACCCTCAGAGGGCACGGCGTTCTGGCTCGGCTCGGGGGCGGCCCGATGCGGCCAGGACGACACGTGGCGCGATTCCATGGGGCATCGTGTTCGTTCCAGCAGCAGAACCCAGCAGAGTCCTTTCCCCCCTCCTTCTCCTCCTCCTCCTCCTCCTCGTCCTCCTCCTCCTCCGCCTCCGCCTCCGCCTCCGCCTCCGCCTCCGCCGCCTCCTCCTCCTCCTCCCTCGTCTTCCGCCTCCTCCTCCTCTCCCTCCCCCTCGTCCTCCTCTCCCTCCCCCTCGTCCTCCTTTCCCCCTTCCCCTCCCTCCTTCTTACCCTCCCATCCCCCCTCCATGCTCGGCTCCCCGCTCCTCGCCTCCCGGGACGGGTGGCGCGCTGCCCGTCCGCCGCACCAGGACACGCCTCCGCCGAGCAGGCCCTGGGGGGGCGGGGCGGGGGGCACGGCAGCGCCTGAGAGCGGGGGCTGGTGGCGGTGACGGCAGAGGACCCAGGGGGTGAGAGTGGTGGCGATGGCGGTGGCGATGGTGGTGGTGGTGGTGGTGGTGGTGGTGGTGGTGATGGTGACGGTGGTGATGGTAGTGGTGGTGATGTCGGTGGTGCTGGTGCTGGTGGTGGTGATGCTGATGCTGATGCTGATCTGATGCTGACTATGATGCTGATGCTGATGCTGCTGCTGCTGCTGATGATGATGATGATGCTGATGATGGTGTTGTTGATGATGATGGTGATGGTGATCGTGATGGTGATGATGGTGATGATGATGCTAGTGATGGTGATGATGCTGCTGATGCTGATGATGATGGTGATGCTGCTGCTGCTGCTGATGATGATGATGATGATGATGATGATGATGATCATGATGATGATGATGATGCTGATGATGATGATGAAGCTGGTGATGGTTAAGGTGATGGTGATGGTGATGGTGATGGTTATGGTGATGGTGGTTATGGTGGTGGTGGTGATGATGCTGATGATGCTGCTGCTGATGATGAGAGTGGTGGAGATGGTGGTGGTGATGGTGATGCTGATGGTGGTTGTGATGATGATGCTGGTGATGATGGTGATGATGGTGATTGTGACAGAGGCCGGAAGCGCCAGCCAGCGCACGGGGCGCCCTCGAGGCGCCTACTGGCGGCCAGGGTCCTGGCATCGCGTGTGCCTAGGAGGAGGGAGGAGGAGGAGGAGGAGGAGGAGGAGGAGGAGGAGGAGGAGGAGGAGGAGGAGGAGGAGGAGGAGGAGGAGGAGGAGGAGGAGGTGGGGTCCGTAGCCATTTTGGCTCAAGCCATTTTGGCTCAAGTCCGGAGGCATTGCTCAAGGGACTGAGTTTGTGGCGTGGGGGATTTGCGGCCCCCGATTGCTTTCTCACCACTACACACCGAGTACCGTGCGGGAAACCGCTCTCTGTGTCCTCACCATTACGGCGCAGTCATGGCTCCTGCTGGGGCTCCTGATTTCTCTCGTTGGTGTTGTGGCCACAAGAGGTGCGGCTACCAGTACAACTACAGTTGGCGCAAGAACTGCTACAGATGCGGTCGCCCAGCAGGGCGGCAACCCGACGTATCCTTCGGCAATGGCAGTGGCAATCGTGATCTGGGCGCGTGGGCTAAGGGGCCTCCGTCTGGGCAGCAGCTGTCCCTGTCCGAGGAGCAGGTGCAGATCTATGCGAAGATGGGCGTGTCCGATTTTGAGCATATCGCGGAAGGATGGCCCACCAAGCAGCTCAACCGAGTGCTGGCGCAGCGTGCGTTGCTCAATGGAGAGCCTCGTGCATCTGCTAAAGCCGCTCGTTTGGATCAAGATTTGTATGAAGATAAGAAGTCCAAAGCCCAGCGTGCTTTGGATCGTGCGAATGATGCTGTGTTCAAAGCGGTGGCTCATGCGGCAAAGTGCAAAAAGGATCTGGAGGAAGCTGAGGCAGCTGCTAAGGCTGCGTCAGCCAGGGCCGCCGCTGCCTTCGCCGCCATGGGCCAGGTGGACGAGCCTGCCGACCCGCTCGCGCAGCTCAAGCAGCTGGTCGCCTCGCTCACCGCCGTCCAGGGGAATCCCAAGGCTGCCGAGGTCGCCGACGCGCTCAGCAATCTCGTACCCGTGCTGCTCGAGGCGGTTCCCACGGCTGCTGAGCCTGCTGGTGTCTCTCAGCCGCCTGAGCCTGTGGCTCCTGGTGGGGGACGCGGGCCCGAGGCCGCGCAGGCTCAGCCAGGCGCAGCTGAGGAGCCCGCCATGGAGGTCGACAGCAGCGCCGCAGCTGCCTTCGCTGCTGAACGCGCCGCTGCAGCCGCCCAGCAGCAGGAGTTCCTGGACTACCTCCAGCAGGCGCAAGCAGGTGATACGCCCGAGATGGTCCAGCTCATGGAGAAGCATGGGGTCAAGCACGAGCTCATGGCGGACATCTTCAACAACGTCAGGAACCAGGCGCTCAAGAAGCTGCGCGTGGACGACGGAGACTCAGTCGAGGGCAAGGCAGCCGCTGGTGCAGCAGGCTCGGGTGCGACGAGCTCCTAGCGCGTGGCACATGATCAGCAGCAACGTCACAGGGCTCGTCGGCCTCGAGGCGCTGGTCCAGCACAGTGCGGTCAAGAATGCCCAGTTTGTCGCGGTGCAAGAGCATCATCAAGTTGACACCTGTGCTTCCTGGGAAAGTAAGTTGCGTAAAACAGGCTGGCGCGGCAGGATGGAGCCTGCCGTCAGTACGGGGCGTGGCGTGGGCACCAGTGGTGGTATACTGCAGATGGTTCCCATTGCCCAAGGACTCGCCCCAGTCGATCTTATCCCTCCTTCTATCTGTGGTGGTAGGGCTGTGGCCTTGCATACTCCAGGAGTGGTGCCTGGTGGTTTCTTGTGGATCACGCTTTACCTGCATGACAGTGAGCAGCTCTCGCCTAGGAATTGGCAGATACTGGAAGCGGTCGGTGCAGTGATCAAGGTTGCGAACATGCCGTATATTGTGTGCGGCGACTTCAACATGACGCCAGATATCTTGTCTGGATCAGGATGGCCAGAGGCCATCGATGGTGTGGTGCTGGCGCCGACTGTTGCAACTTGCACTAACTCGTCCGAGTCTGGCGGAAAAGTTTTGGATTATTTCGTGGTGTCGGCGTCCATGCAGTATGGCGCTACTGTGCAGGTCATTGTCGATGCGGGCACCACGCCCCACATCCCCGTCAAGCTCGCGCTCTGCTCGGCCACGCTGATGGACTTCGGCTACAGGGTCGCACGCATCCCGAAGAGGTTTCCCGTCGACATACCCATGGGCTGTCGCGCGCGCGATCCTGCGCAGCTCTGGATCGACGCTGAGTTGGGCATGATGGAGACCACCGTGGATGGCAAGTGGCAGCGCTGGGTCGCGGCCGCAGAGCTGGACTGGGCTGACGTCTACGGTATCGTGCCCGCCGAGTCGCCCGAGTACTTCGGCCGCAGTGAGGGGCCCCAGTTCGCCTGGAAAAAGCCTGCTCTACCCAAGGACCTTGCCTACCCCAGGCTGTCCCCTCGCTCTCTCTGGTGGCGTCTTCTCGCCAGGGTCTTCTGGGGTCTGAGTCGCTGGCAGCCTGCACCGCTTAGAGCTTCGACACTGCGTCTCGCCCGCCAGGTCCAGGCCAAAGTAAGCACAGCAGGCATAGATTCGGAAGTTGCTAGACCCTGGCTTGAGTTGTTAGGGCTTTCTAAGTATATCTCGTACGAGCTGGCAGCAGTTGCAGCGACTGCTACCAAGAAGCTTGCCGACCTTGATTTTCGCAATGCAGAGAAGTCGAAGAAGGATGGCTGGCGTGCCTGGGTCAAGGAGCATAGTTTGAACGGCGGTGCTGCTCTGTATGCGATGTCAAAGCCGCCTGTGCCATGGCATGCCAGCTCTTTCGTTTGCAGTGAAGGACGGGCTGCTAAGAAGCAGCCTGCCACTTTGCATCAAGAGATGGAGCTCCTTGAAGAAGAGTGGGGTCATTGGTGGCGTGTTGGTGTGTTGAAGGACTCCATCTCGTGGCCTCGGGATTTGGGTCCCCTTTTTCCCAGGCCCTCTCTTCAGGAGTTTAAAGCATGCATCAGGAGCTTTCCCAACAAATCGGGGTGCGGCTTCGACCAGATCACGCCTATGCAGCTCTTGTCCTTGGCCGATGCTGGGCTTGTCCTGCTCATAGACCTCATTGAAGACATTGAGGCCGAATGTTGCTGGCCCCAGATCTGGACAAAAGTTGGTTTCCTCACTAAGCGTGAAGGGGGCCTCCGCCCCATAGCGCTCATACACATTCTAGCTCGGATACAGGGAAGGCTTCGCCGTTCCATGATAGCTGCGTGGCAACAGGCCAATCCGAGGCCCTATTGGTGGTCAGCCAAGGGGCGTAGTTCTGACAAATTGGTCTGGGTGCAGGCCGCTGGAGCCGAGTGGGCCTCCGAGAGACGGCTTGCCTCGGGCCTAATTCTTTTAGACCTCCAGAAGGCTTTCGAGCACGTGCGACATTCTCAGCTTGTCGCTGCTGCGCAGCGCACGGGGTTCCCTCTCCGCCAGTTAAAGCTTCTCGTCGAGCTCTATCGGTTGCCTCGAGTGCTGAGCTATAACAATGCCGTGTCGTCGCCTCTGGAGGCGCAGCAGGCCGTCCTGCCTGGCTGCCATTTCGCAACGCTGATGCTGCAATTAATTCTCATCGGTCCTGTCGACATCGTGGCCGAAGCTTTTCCCCATGTCACTCTTGGGGTCGTGGTTGACGACTTCGGCCTCCAGCGCATCGGTCGCGATCAGGACGTTGAGAAAGATTTAGTGGCAGCAACGGGCAAGCTTCACTCCGAGCTGAAAGGTGTGGCTTTGGTCGTTCACCGTGAGAAGGGTCGCGTTGTTGCGTCGTCTCCTGGTCTCAGGGATCGGATTGTGAAGCGAACCCGTAGGTTTAATATTAAAGGGGTCTCTAGTGAAAGGAACCTCGGTATCGATTTTGCTGCTGCGCGCACTATGCCTCGGGAGACTCGAAGGGCTCGCAGGGGACCTGCTGTGGCACGGGCTCGAAGGCTCCAGAGTTTCTCGAAGGAAGTAATAAAGCGTCGTGTGCATCACATGGTGCAGGCGGCCTGCCTTGCCTCTCTCAAGTACGGAGGCACTGTGTATGGAACAAATAACTCGGATTTACGTGTGGCCCGTGCGTTACAGGCGCACGTGCAAGTACAAAGCTTGTCTGGCCGCAGCGTAACTCTGTTGCTTATGCTAGCCGAGGCGCCAAAATGCGACCCGTCTTATCGTCTCAACATCGACCCGCTTTGTATGTATGCCACCGCTGTTTGGGACGTTCTTGCCGCATAGGCTGCTCGAGCAAGGTCTGGCTACTGCTGTACATCGTTTGCAGCACAGCGGCAACCCATGGGCGAGCGTCAGAGGTCCCTTCTCTGATTGTGCCGCCACCGCTCTTCGGCT